TTTAGTTATGTTCACACAAAAACGAAAGCTGAATAACTATCATCCTCCAAGTCTTTTTAGCACAAAACTCCAGCTATCCTCTGAGGTAAAATATTTAGGTCTTACCTTGGACAGCAAACTTAACTGGAATAAACACATAGAAAACAAAATCAACAAAGCTAGTATAACTTTCTGGCAATGCAGAAACATGATTGGCAAAAGATGGGGATTGACGCCAAAAATCATACTGTGGCTTTACAAAACTGTAATTCGGCCCATGATCACATACGGCGCTCTGGTATGGTGGACCAAGACAAATGAAGCCACCATAATTAAAAAGCTTCAGCGCTACCAGAGACTGGCATGTATGGCTGCTACAGGCTGCATGAGAACTACGCCAACAGCAGCCTTAGAAGCGATGCTGGAGCTAACTCCGCTTCATCTACATATACAACAAGAAGCGACTTTAGCTGCCATCAGACTCAAGACCCTAAATCTTTGGAGTAAGAATAGTGTCCCTCATACAGGCATAATTGATAGAATTCACTCAAAAATTCCTATCCTACAAGCCAAATACGATAGGATTCCTAAACAATTTGTTTTCGATAAGAAATACAAGATACAGTTAAATGAAAACAGCCAGCCGGAAGGATTAAGCCCAAAAGAGCTTAGAATTTTCACCGATGGTTCTAAAACAAATGAAGGTGTAGGTTGTGGAGCTTTCTCTGAAGACCTCAATATTCACATATGCACACCGCTGGGTACCTATAACACGGTCTTTCAGGCGGAATGTATGGGTATCATTCAAGCGGCCATAGCAATAGATGCTAGGAAGGTTAATGACTTCCCCATCAGAATACTGACCGACAGTAGGGCGGTACTCCAAGCCCTGAGATGCAATGTGGTGAACTCGGGACTAATATATGAATGCCATCAACGATTAAATGAGGTATGTAAAAACAACAATGTGACCCTGCAATGGATAAAGGGACACAGTGGATCCAGAGGCAACGATGCAGCAGACGAACTTGCCAGAAGAGGATCGGCTTTGGCCACTATAGGGCCGGAACCGATCATACCAATCCCCTTTGGTAACGTTTGTTCACTGGTACGTAGACACTTTACTAATCAACACGCTCAGCTTTGGAAAAATCTAGTAGACTGTAGACAAGCTAGGGATGCCCTGCCTGAAATTAACAGTCGCTTAACAAAAGTTTTAATGAGACTGAACAAGCCGCAGATTAGGATAGTAACAAGTGCTATCACAGGACACGGCACCTTTAACAAACATTTATTTACTATAGGTGTTACAGATAGTCCCCTGTGCAGGGCATGTATGGGGGAGGAAGAAACGGCGGCCCACGTGCTACTGAAATGTCCGGAGGTCGCTACATACAGGGCTAAACATCTCGGCACGCCGGGATCACTCCCCGAAGTTGCATGCAACATCAAGGGCCTGTTGAGCTTCTTCGGAGAGATCTCATGGCTCGAATAATCACATTATTCCTGCCCACACGCAAAATACGCGCATAGACGTGGAGTTGCGGAAAACAGCCCGTCGTAAACTAAACTAAACTAACGTAAACTAAAACTATTGATATTGAGAAAACTGATTTCCGTTAAAGTTATTGCGTTTATAATAGATACAATCGTGCCTCAACTAGCTATTATTTTTAATACTAGTATCAAATCTGATGTGTTTCCTGATTTAATGAAGTATCATCATCATCATCATCATTACAACCTTTCATAAGTCCACTGTTGAACATAGGCCTCCACCAAGGAATGCCACAAAGCACGGTCCTGAGCCACCTGCATCCATCGACTTCCTGCATGTCTTACCAGGTCGTCACTCCATCTCGTGGAGGGTCACCCTACACTTCGCCTACCGGTACGAGGCTGCCACTCAAGAACCTTTCTTCCCCGTCGGTTGTCGGTTCTTTGAGCTATATGGCCGGCCCACTGCCACTTCAGCTTACTAATCCGTTGGGCTATGTCGGTTACTCTGGTTCTACTGCGGATATCCTCATTTCTAAGTTTATCACGCAGAGAAACTCAGAGCATAGCCCTCTCCATAGCTTGCTGAGCGACCTTCAGCTTCCTCATACGGCCAGCAGTGAAGGAATACGTCTCAGTTCCGTAAGTCATCACTGGCAACACGCACTGGTTGTACAATATCGTTTTAAGGTTTTGAGGTATGTCTAACGAGAAGATGTGTCGTAGCTTCCCGAACGCTGCCCAGCCGAGTTGAATCCGTGGATTGACCTCTCGGTCGAAGTTGGACTTACCTAGTCGGAATATTTGTCCCAGGTAAACATACTCGTCAACAACTGCGAGCTTAGCGCTCCCAACAACTACCGGCATAGGTGTGACATGGACATTAAACATAATCTTTGTTTTGTCCATGTTCATCTTAAGACCTATCCGTTGGGAGACACTAATGAGGTCATTGAGCATAGTGCTTAGGTCCTCCAGCGATTCTGCCATAATGGCTATATCGTCGGCAAATCGAAGGTGAGTGATGTACTCGCCATTAATGTTAATACCGTATCCTTTCCAGTCCAGAAGCTTGAAAACGTCTTTCAATGCAGCGGTGAAGAGTTTCGGGGATATAACATCACCCTGTCTTACACCTCTCTGCAATTGGATAAGTTTCGTACTCTGGTTCTGTACTCGGATAGCCATCGTAGCTCTACTGTACAAACACTTCAGCACTTCGATATAGGGTATGTATGTGGTCTATGGTACTAAAGCCCTTTCGGAAACCGGCTTGTTCGGGAGGCTGGAAGTCGTCAAGTCTGCTCGCGAAACGATTCGTAATAACTCTCGAAAACAGTACGTAGACGCGGCTCAGAAGGGAAATCGGTCTGTAGTTCTTCAAGAGAGCGTTGTCACCTTTCTTGAAGAACAAGACCACCGCACTTCTGCTCCACGCCGCCGGTGTAATGCCACCATGGAGGACGGAATTAACGGAGCTTCTGAAGGACTTCAACTACCGGTCTTCCACCCGCTTTTTTTTATAGGAGAGGGGGCAAACGAGCATGCGGCTCACCTGATGGTAAGTGACTACCGCCGCCCATGAACAACCGCAACACCAGGGGAATTGCAGATGCGTTGCCGGCCTTTTAAAAAGGAGTAGGCTCTTTTCTTGAAGGTCCCTAAGACGTATCGGTCCGGAAAAATCGCTGGTGGTAAACTATTCCACAAGGAAGTTGTGCGAGGAAGAAAACATCTTCTAAATCGCACAGTGGTGGACCGCCAATCATCCAGTATGGTGTGGATGGTATCGGGAGTTCTGCCGCGACGTGCGTTCGTGAAATTTGGCGGCTGGGATTAATCCGAACAATTCCTCAGAGCACTCCCCATGGTAAATGCGAAAGGCTCTTTCTGGCAGACAGATCTCTGGCAAAGACTTTGGAGCCTTGGTTCCGCTCGATCGCTTCTTCAATACAAGCTGTATTGAAGTTGCGTAAGTCCCGCCGCATGCATTTGGAGATCTGTCTGTTCAGTTGCCTGTATGCTGTCAAATCTGTTGAGAATGTAGCGTCATCTCCCGTCTAACAGCTATGAGATTAAGAGTGTGATCGGAGAGTTTTTGTGTTCTTCTGCGGCGGGTCTTTCAGATCTTAGCTCCGACCGCATGGACAGTTTCCACGAGCTTGTCATTCATATCGTCCACTTCATTGCAGTCTTCTAGGCAATAAAAACGGTTTTGTAACTCGAGCTGAAAGGTTTCGGGACTTTGGAACAGAGCACGAGGGGGACGGAGCGTTGACTTCATTAGACGAGACCTCTCCAACTTAACGTTTAGGTTCAGTGTGCCTCTGACCATTCGGTGATCGCTACCAGTTTTCACCCTCGCGATCACGGAGACATCACTGAACAGTTGTCGTCTGGTCGTCATAATGAAGTCAATCTCATTTTTTGTCGAACCGTCGGGGCTCAACCAGGTCCACTTCCTGTGGGGCCGCTTCTGGAAGAAAGAGTTCATCATAAAGAGTCCCTCTTTCTCCATGAAGTCGGCCAGCTGCTGGCCCCTTGGGTTCCGTTGCCCTATTCCAAATTTTCCCACCTTCAGCTCACCGTTCTCTCTTTTGCCTAGTTTTGCATTGCAGTCTCCCATTAACACCGTATATTTAGGTTTTGGAGGAATGCATGGCTCTAGAGATATCCTCATACATTTCCTCCACCTCCTGATCGGGGTGTGCCGAGGTTGGTGCGTAAACCTGTATGACCTTCAGCGAATACCGTTTGGTGATTCTGAGTATAAGGTACGCAACCCTCGTCGACACACTCCCGATCTTTACAACGTTGTTAACGAGATACTTGTAGACGATAAATCCGACACCTCCTTGGGACAGATGGTCGCCCTCCCGGTGATAGAGCAAGTTGCCGGATTCGAGGATTACCATGTCCTCCCCCTCTCTTCAGACCTCGGATAATCCTATAATATGCCAGCGTAACTTGTCTATTTCTTCTTCCAGCTCCACGATCTTCTCGTCAGTCCTCAGGGTGCGTGCGTTGTACGTTGCCAGGTCGAGTCGTCTAAGGTGGCAACCGAACCTCCACCGGAGATTCCTAGCATTTACCTCTGCCCCGCCATTACCATGGTCGCCACCGTAGCCAGGAATAGCGGGGCCGCCGGGGACTGGGGGCCGTCTGTTTGTTGCTTTGATCATTGGGGGGTATTTGCCATAGTTGCCACGCTTGGCGAGCGGGTTGGCAACCGCAGTTTTTTTATTGTAATTTTGGCTATTATCAGGAAGATGCTGTGCCCATCTCCTGCCTGTTTCCCTTTGTCGCCTTTTACGACACCCACGGGATGATATGGGGTAGTGGATATTCTTGACCGCCACTACACGGCAGTATAGTAAAGAAATATCTCTCCCTATCACCTCTTACAACACCCACGAGATTAGAGAATATTCATAAGATTAGAGAGGTTAGAGAATATTCCTACACCGCCACTACATGGTCAAGAGAACAGAAAGATTCACAAGTTAAAGAAGTTTTGTAAAGTCTCACTCATGTTCCATCTTCAGCCTTCGCGTGGTCCAGTCGAGTGCCTTCTGCTTGTCCTCGGCCTCGCGCCGCAACTTGGACACTTCAGCCTCCGCTGACGACAACAGAGATTGTCGCCGAGATAGCTCTGCTTCCATTTCACTCACCTAATAAAAATTTCATTCTATAGGTGCTAGGAGGTCCTTTTCTGCCTGTCTAAGTAGGTACCACCCTCTTTCTTATTTCTGCCGTCAAATAGCAGTGCGTGTACTACTGTGTTCCGGTCGGAAGGTAGGGTTACCAACTCTCGAATGGATCAATCCGGGAGAATTTTATGAAATTGAATGAATTTTTGGAAAAAGATCTCAATCATTTATTAATTTTTAAATTTATATTTACTGTGCTTTCAAGCAGCATCTAATATTTGTCGGTTTTTCACCACAATATCATAAAAGTTTTTACATGAAAAATCGAAGTTTATAAGTAGATACTTGTAACTCTGCTTTTCATAAAGAAATACTCATTCGGTTTCTTTCCTTGCTCCATGCTTGTTCCATCATGCTGAATACATGCTCGCAAGAAGCATTAGAGACAGGTATGGAAAGAACAAATGTGACCGCAAAGCAAATGAGTAGTGACACGTGTAAGCGAAGGATGTGTATAATTTTTAGAAAAATCGGAGAAATTATTGCACCCCGGGCGGTCGGGAGATTAACCATTATTACCGGAGTCTCCCGGGCAATCCGGGAGGGTTTAGAGCCCTATCTGAAGGGCATAAAGCCAGTATAAATACAGGCTGCGCAGCATTCCATCTTAGTCCTCAGAGATGACAACGCATCGGTAGTCTTCATTGTTTGAAGTTGGCTGCAGGTGCCCATGGACTGCAGTAGCCACTCACCATAAGGTGAAACTGTAAGTTCGTTTGTCACTTCAGTTTTATAAAAAAAAAATTACATACAAGTAAAAGTGAAATGAGTGGCAGAGTTGGCGAGGAATGTCCTAGAAACTATTGATAGAAATTTTGACAGGCTGTAATGGAGAGATGGTATTTTGTGCGAACTCGGTCCGTCATGGAACCGAATAAGTGACTGTGTTTCCAACAATAAAAGTGAACTAGGTACTGAAATAAATTTAGGGAACTCACCCTGTGCTGAGCGGCGTCGCGCTGTGCGAGCAGGTCGGCGGCGGCCGCGCGCTGGAGAGACAGCGCTCGCTCAAGTGCACTCGCAGATGCTTTCACAGCGTCCAGCTCATTGCGACAGTTACGCCAGCCTGCATAGGAAAGTTCAAGTATTCAAGTATTTAGTTTTTTTTTTTGTCAAAGACTCGTTCTGTTGTAATTTAGCCAATGTCAAATAGTAAGAAATTATCCAATAAAATATTATGCAATAAAAATATAGCGAATAAATTGTTTAAAAAATTCTCCACAATATGTTGATGCGTCACATTGCGAAATTTTTGGGAGATCTTGACGGCAGGTTGAGCCAACAGACAGTTGATGATAATAGTATCTCAAGGTGACTAAGTAAACACATTATCTAGAGTTCTTGAGATTCACATCACCATCGGAGCACTTGTGTCATCGTTTCCCCTAATATTTCACATGCGTAGACATTTAATACACAAAATTATACTACTTTACGTGTCTAAATCCACTTCAAATCGTTATTTGCAACAACCGGCCAAATTTGTGAAGAAAAATTAATTAAAAAATATCTCAAACATTCTGTCCTTTTTATCTTTTAAATTCAAAATACATGGTAATGCATTAGTTTAACTGAATTTATTGCGAACGTTGTGTACGTTCGCAATAATTCGTAATAGTGGGTCGGTAGGCAAAAACGTTGTTGCCCATAAATCACTTTCAGTTTGGGATAACCTATACATACAAACAAATAAAATTGAAGTGTCTATTTGTAATGTTAAAATACGTTTTACTAAATGCATATGAAAGTATATACGGTACTAATAACAAAAAAAAAACAATTTTTAAAATTTTTGTCTATTTGTTCCAACTAATCTCCGAAACAGCTAGACTGATTTGACGGGACTTTCACTGGCAAATAGCTTATGTTATAAGGACTAACTTAAGATACTTTTATTTTAGAAACAGAATTAGATATCCGCGCAAATAAATTAAAACCCATGAAATCATAGCAAAATCCACGCGAGCGAAGTCGCGAGGCACAGCTAGTTTCAAATAAAAGTAGAAGCCTTATTTACTAGTATTTTCAAAAAAACTGCAATAACGGTATATCATTATTTATATATTTGAACTTAAGTTTTAAATTTGGCTATTCTGAAAAAAAATACGGTACAATAAAACAAAAGCAATCCGTCGACGGTCAAGTTCCCGCCAAAAACAAAACCTTTAGTTTTTTATTTATAGAATTAGGGTGATAAACGAACACATAGTCCTCTCGATGGGTAAGTGGATGCTGTGGCTCATAGACATCTACATTTATCGTCCTTTAAAAATCAAAATGCAGATGCGCTGTCACCCCCTAAAGCCCACGACAGAATGCCTCGTTCCCAGTTAAAAGGGTCTCCGGTTCTCTCCACTCATCATACGAAACATTGAATTGAGCTGCTATTTCACGCTGGTAATCTGTGAAAGCGTGGTCCTAACCCACTTAATCCATTCGTGCTGCAACCATGATATAGATGCAGTGTGGCTCTACAGCCCACTAACTGTACAATAAGGTATTTATTATATATTTTATTATATATATTATTTAGCAATTGTAATATGTATTTATTACAATTGGTACTTATTACTTAGTAAAATTTGGACATTGGCCGCTCTTGTTCTGGCGTTGATTTAATAGACAGCATCCTGTACAGGACAATAAACCGCGTACCAATGCTCATCTCGGAAGCTCGGTCTTCGGCTGCGCAGACATCGCCTTCGAGAGCTCGTTTCTCCTGCAACAAAATATAATATATAGAAGGAGTAGTTTGTTCTAAAATCTGACACCTTGGAAATGTAACAGGCCAGGCTTTTCGTGGTAGTGCCACGCTGCAGCAACAATTTGGGCCGGCTCTTTGGGGAAGGACCACGCTCTCACAGAATAACAGCATAAAATAACAGTTTAATACTGTTGTGTTTCGTGTGGTGATTATAGAGAACCGGAGACCCTATTTAACGAGGCATTTCATCTTAGTCCTCAGGGGTTGCAACGCATCTACGTTTTGATTTTTATATGAAGATAGAAGATATATGTGACACAGTATCCACTTACCATCAGGCGGACTGTGTGTTTGTCAAGGTTATTCTTTAAAAATACAGGTACTTACATGTCACAGCTGGGCACAGGTCTATATATATATTTCGAGTATGTATAGTGTATATTTAAGTTGGTGTTAGAGATTTTGGCTTGATATTTTATTTGTGATACAATATTTGATTTGATTTGTTACACAAATAAAATATAGTTGCCAATCTGTCGGCGATTTTTTTATAGAGTGACAAACGAGCACACAGTCCACCTGATGGTAAGTGGTTGCTGTGATCTACACCTACTTTACATCTTTGATAACAAATCAAAATGCAGATGCATTGTCACCCGTAAGGACTAAGATGGAATGCCTCGTTTCCAGTAAAAAAGGGTCTCCGGTTCTCTACACTCACCATGCGAAACACAGCATCGATATGTTGCTAATTTACGCTGGTATTCTGTGAGAGCGTGGTCCATCCCCGGTCGAACCGACCCATTCGTGCTACAACTATAGCAGAAACTTTTTTTTTATTCAATATAGATTATAAATAATACTGGTTCGAAAAAAAACCTCTGTCCTGGGAAGAACCAGCAAGAAACCCAGCGGGACTTTTTTTAAAAATAACAGCTGACAATCATGATGTTACACAAATTAACAACACAACAGATTAGAAATGGCTTGGTAGCGATCACCTCATTTCCAGGGGTTATTATCATCTATAAATTATTTAATATTATATTAACCCTTTTTATACAAACTTAGTTTAATAAAGTTTTTGAACCTTGATCAGGTCAAATTTTGTATATTTTCTGGAATTTTGTTGTAAAAGGGTATACATCGCTCCAAGAATGAATTACTGACTCGATGGAGTCGAGTAACTGGTACTACTAGCATGTGTCTGTTCCTAGTATTTACCTACAGAATGAATATCACTTATTTTTGTAAAACTACTTTTATTTTTGTGTACGTACATTACATTTCGTAAACACCGGTCCCTATGCCATGTCAATAAAAATATATAACAAAATTCCAGAACAAATCAGAAGCATTAAAAGCATTAAAAAAAATTAAAAGGAAGTTAATACATATTTAACGAAAAAATGTTATTACTCGTGGCAGGAGTTTTTTAGTGATTGAGTAGGAAATAGGAAATTGAAACAAATATACAATATAATATGATCCAATTTATATTTAAGTTAATTGTGAATATTCACTAAATGATAATTTTATAATACTACAATGTGAATGTAATAATAAAATTAATAATTGCCTATATTTGCAGTGCCCTTGCAGGGTTCTTGTTTTGAACATTTTTTTTAAATATAAGACCAAATGTACAACAAGAATAGCAAATAAATTAAATTGAATTGAATTGAATTTTCATAAATGTATTGAGAGGCCAAAGTTAATATATTAATTTCCTTAAATTTTTGTCGCAGCGACTCTTTAGGCTTTAAATCATAAATTGCTCTTATGGCCCTCTTCTGTAAAACAAATATAATTTCAGTGTCAGCTGCGTGTCCCCGTAGCAAAATACTATACGACATTATGCTATGGAAATAGCTAAAGTAAACTAGTCGAGCTGTTTCAACACTGGTTACACTTCTAATCTTTTTTACGGCATATGCTGCAGAACTAAGTCTGCTTGCTAGTTTTGATATATGGGGGCTCCATTGAAGCTTCACGTCTAGTGTGATTCCAAGAAAAATGGTGGTATCTACAAGACTCAGTTTCTCCCCATTTAAAATTATATTAGTATTTAATTGTTTGACATTTGGAGTCATAAATTTCATACATTTCTTTTTAGTGCCATTTAAATGCAAATTATTAACATTGAACCATTTTACTAATTTAGATACAGCATTATTTACTTCGTCATATTTTAGCAATTGTCGACTTAATTTGAAAATTAAAGAAGTTTCATCTGCAAATAATACTATATCATGGTTATCTCCTACTATGTAAGGTAAGTCATTAACGTATACAAGAAACAGAAAGGGGCCGAGAATTAAGCCTTGAGGCACGCCCATTTGTTCCATCGACCTGGAAGAATTCATACTGTTAATGTCAACTTTTTGCGTTCTCTTACTTAAATATGAAATAATTAATTTAAGAGCATCACTTCTTACACCGTAGTGTTGAAGTTTCCTGATTAATGTTTCATGGTGAACACAATCGAAGGCTTTGGATAGGTCACAAAATATACCCAAAGCATCCTGTGAATCCTTCCATGCATTAAATATATATTTAATCAGCTCAACGCTGGCATCAGTTGTCGATCGACCCCTTGTGAAACCAAAGTGATTTTTATGAAGTAAATTATTTATATTAAAGAAATTTAACATTTGATCAAGAATAAATTTTTCAAAAATCTTACTAAGTGTTGGTAGTACAGAAATAGGTCTAAAATTGGCGGGATCTAATGTACTACCAGATTTAAATATAGGTATTACTTTACTACACTTCATTAAATCAGGAAACACACCAGATTCGATACTAGTATTAAAAATAATAGCTAAATGAGGCGCGATTGTATCTATTATAGACGCAATAACTTTAACGGAAATCCCCCACAGATCCACAGTTTTCTTAACATCAATAGTTTTAAAATATTTTACAATATCTTGTGATATTCTTATTTCATATGTATGACACTTTATGAAATGTAAAATTCTTTGTACACGCATTTACATTTTGTTTAAGTAATGATTCGGCGACCGCAGGAGAAGAATTCAGTGACTTAGTGGTTAATATCGGAATATCAGTAAAATATTTCTCAAAAACCATTGCAACGTCCTGATCTGATTCGGTTAATTTGTTATTAACACTTAACTGGAAGTTTGAATTTCGAGAGTTTCTTACCAGTTTCGCTATTAATTATACTCTATGTCATTTTAATTTTATTAGCAGCCGTCTTATTTTGTTGCTCAAATGCAAAGACTTGGCTATGGAGCACACTCTTTTAAATATTTTTGAATATTTTTTTACATATTACCTAAATTCGACGCTATGATTATATGACCTTTCATGGTAAAGATCATATAACCTATGTCTGCTCTTATGGACTCCCACTGTCGCCCATTAATTAAATGACTTCCGACTGTTCAAGTAGAATGTTTTAGAAGTAAAAGTATTATTAAATTCATTGCAAATAAACTTAAATAATGTTCCATACAAAAAATTTGGATCATTTTGGTATGAAAGTGATGGAAGTTTTTTCACTATGTTACTTCTAAATTTCTCCAAGCGACGTGCATTTACTGGAACAAACACAACTTTCTCATCTACTTACTTTTTGTGAACATAAGGTAACGAAACTACTTGTCCACAGTGATCAGAACTTAATTTTTGAATTATACATTTATGCAACGGCTTCACATTTGTAAAAATGTTATCTATACATGTTGCACTAGATTGAGCAATACGCGTTGGCTCTAAAAATAAATTAAAAAGACCGTATGATTTAAACAATGATCTAAATTTAATATTGATTGAGGAAGCTTCTTGGAGATTGATATTAAAGTCTCCACATATTACAACAGATTTATTCTGTTTATTAAGCTTAGTAAAAACTTCCTCCATAATTTTTTCAAAAGTATCGTATATAGAACATGGGGATATGTAGACGCTCACAACAATGAGGTGCTCAAACTCAACACATGCCATTTCTACAGTTCGCTCAACAGAGAGGCTCACAATATCTTTACGTTCTTTACATGACAATAATTTACTAGCTAATATTAAGGAGCCACCTCTTAAAACCGTTTCTCTATTGAAAGAACTGACCACCTGGTGATTACTGAAGTTAAACATTAAGTTATAAGCTTTTAACCAATGTTCAGTAATACATAAAATATGAATATTGTTGCTATTTAAGAACAACTCAATTTCTAGCTCTTTGCTTATCATGCCTTGTATATTTTGATGCACCAGGTGTAAACAATTTTCATTATCACTTTGTGGAGTCATACAATTAAAGATTTGTAAGCTACATTCTAAATTATTTAAATTATTACAACTGCTAGATATTACCTCTATTGTCTCATTTTCTAATTTAAATTACTTGGAACTGATTCCAAATTACATATTAAGTCATTATACTGCTCAAAAAAGCATGTAGCATGGCTCTACCACGTACAAAAAAATGTTACATTATTACTAATAATTGCAAGAATCACATAATATAGTTCATCCATAACTACTTTGCCTAGCTCGGCGACTTGCTTGGATTTAATTTATACGTGAAAGGTATACTGGAATTATTTAACTGCACCAGAGCCTACTTAGGCCCCTACATTAAGGGGCTACTCCATGCGAACGACCTTGAGCATTTGGTGTGCCGCGCCGACTCGCTACAATATAATATCACGTAAGAAATATGTAAGGCGCCACCTACTGTAAGAACGTAGTATTTTTTCAACATCAATAAACTATTTTATGGAAATACACACAGCGTACAACGATAAATGTATCTCAAATTTTTTATTCGGTATATTAGTTGCATTATATTAGAGTTATGTATTCTCATATATTATCTAATTATGAAATTTTATAATTAATTATATATTAAAAATGAAGCATTGAAAATTGTGAGTTTAAAAGATACCTACTCACTATAGGTAAATAGATAGATAGCTCGCCTTTTGTACAAATATTTTGTGCAATAAAGAATAAATAAATAAATAGGATGTTTCGCAGAGTGAGAG